TCACCAAACAAACGACCTATACAGTTTATAACATTCCATACCCCATTTTAGCACCACTGACCTGGCTCTCCTTTGAGAAAGGATTCTACAGGGTGGGGTGGGCAGTGATGAGAAAGGCGCTGCCTTACAAGTGCCATTCAGCTTAATTTAGAACTTTCTGGGAACTCTGAGGCAGGCTCAGGGCCCACCTGCCTCACTCACCGAGGAGAACAGGACTGTCCTACAGGCTGCAGGTGGTGCTGCGGTCCGCAAGCGAGGGCAGCACAGCATGTCTGACAGCCTCCGTGCACACTGTAGTAGGGCCACACCAATACTCTGTGTAACACAGCACTGCCCCGGGATTAATCCACGGGTAAACGGACACAAGAGCCTGCTGCGTTTGGAGGAATTTTTCATCACCTGTAGACCCCTCCTGCAGCCACAGCAGTAGAGCCCCAGCTGGGCCCTGCGGGACATGAAGAGCCTGGCGCTGACCGCAGGGGGGGCCTGCCTTACACGCGTGCGGCCTCCCTGCAGACGCACCACCCTTTCAGGACAAGTAGTTAAAACTGACATAATTGTGATTTATTAACATGAATTAAAATGCCCAACCAGTGCTGCAATGTGACAGTATTTAAAAAAAAAAATTAAAATAAAGATCATATACTGTACTACTTTCACAAAGATCACACTTTTTTTTTTTTGCAAAAGAGACTTATTATATACAATACTATATCAAATGAAAGCAGCTTTAAGCAATTTTACAAGCAAAAGAAATACAGTATTTACAGCACTTGTCCGAGACATTAGAAACAGTCTATACATTAAATTACATTTTCTGCAAATAACTGATGAAACAAAAAGCCATGTCCACACCAAAACTATAAAAATTTGTATTGCATTGTCTTCTATCTCTATGCACACAAAGAACTGTTGACAGAAGAAAATGGAAGGAAAGAAAATTGTTAGTGCCATCACTGAGCCTGTGTACTTATTCAATTACATATGTATAAAAGTAATACAGAAAACATTCACTAAATGAATTTAACTGCAACAATAAAATTTTAAAGATTATGCAGCATCAAACCTACTGCCAGAAAAAACAGCTGGAATGTTCACTTACAAAATAAAAAGAAATACCTAATACTGGCTTAACAGCACGTTTTCAGGAATTTTAAAAAGCAAAAAATGGAAAGAATACAATGAAAGAGCACTGGTGTCTGCTTTTATACAAAGTATCATGTACAAGCTTTAAAAAGTACCTCCAACAGGTACGTATGAAATATACAGAGTTTATATTACACAACATTTTAAAAATGCTTGGGATTAAGGGGATCCGTTTTAATGCCACCCCGAACCATGGTAATTGTTCTGAAAAGTGGGCGGCACCTGTGCTCTGTGGATGGGGATCTGTCCTGGCACCGGCGACGCCTGCTGCGGCCCCTGCACTCCGTGGGGAAGGGTGACGGAGCCAGGGTGAGGGCAGAACCCCGACGCAGTAGGTGTTGCAATACTGTTTGGTCCTTGAGGTTGGATGTGAGGACCCTGACCAGGGAGCGGGCAATGCGGTCCTGTTCCAGCAGGCTGATGTTGAGGTCCAGGTCCTAACGTTGTGTGATGTGGGGCTTGTGAGGAGTAGGAGGACACGCTCGTGTGAGCATTGGAAGGAAAATGGGGGGGTCCTTGATGGGATGGGTGGTGTAACCCTTGTGCTGATGCTGGGTGATGCCCCGAGCCTATAACACTGGAGGGTGGGGGCGGAGGGGGCGGAGGTGCAGAGTTTACAACATGCTGGTGTTGTGCTTGCAAACCTTGGTGTCCAGTTGGAGGATGGGGAGGTTGGTGGTGGGGGAGAGGACCTGGTGGCGGAGGCGGCGGTGGCAAATGGTGACCAGCAGCTTGAGAATGAATGTGCGATCCAGGAGCTACCGCCACGGCATGAACCGGACCGACAACGTGTGCTACAGGGTGCTGCTGATGAGTACTTTGCTGCTGTACAAGGTGAGGTCCTGGAGCAGGTGGTGGCGGAGGAGGAGGTGGAGCAGCGGACGCTGATGCCTGGTGATGAATAGTGGGGTTCTGAGAGGGCAAGAAATGCCCTGCAGTTACATGGTGTCCCGGCACCGCTGGCTGACCCGCAGTGCCAGGAAGTGCTTGATTTGGTCCAGATGAAAACACAGTCTGTTGAGGCATGCTGCCCTTCAGCTGAGTGTAGCTCTGAAAGTTTCCAGAGGGCTGCTGGTTTTGATAGTAAGTAGAAGAAGGGGGAGGGGGGGGCGGGGGAGGTGGTGCACTGCTGTTCAAATTCTGTTGGCTGAACTGGCTGTAAGAAGCTGAAGATTGTCCTGAAGTTGTCTGAGTAAAGAGGGGTCCGCTGGCCTGCTGCTGATTACCAGGCTGAAGGGTTGGTGCTGCTGGATAGAAGTTTCGGTGCGTTTCCCTCTGGGGCGTTCCAACTTGAGGTGACTGTGGATGATGAGGTCTGTACGGAGATCCCAACGGCTGTGAGTGAGGCTTTGGTGAGAGATAACCATGCTGCACAGGCGCGTGGGGGGTCGAGGGCTTGGGAGGGTTTTCGACGTGAGGCGAGGGGGGGCAGTGCAGCTTCGGAGGCGCGGGAGGCAACTTCTGTGGATGTGACAGTTGCTCGGCAGAGCTGCGCAGGTGTGACTGAGATGGATGATTTTTTGAAAGTGCTTGGACGTTGTTTGTCAGCTGTTTCTGTTGCAGCTCGGACTTTGGATGATTCGCACATTCGGCCTCAGGCACGTTAGCTGCAGTTTCCCAGTGCGAATCTGGTTTTGTGGGTGCCTTCCCAAGTGGCTGCACTGAAACTACAGGACTCGGTGAAGAGGGCTGGAATGAAAAGCAAGGAAGTCAGTGCAAAACATTCAACTTCGTGTGTGTTAGAACAAAGAGACCTTCTCAGAACACTGTTCTCTCCCCCGATGGTGGAAAAAAAAGCGCTGAGGCACAGATCATGTATTTAGTACAAGAAAAGCAGTGACAACAGAAACCTTAAACTCAGCAAGTGCGTATGGATCATTCTCCTAAGTCTAAGACGAGCAAGTGTATTCCTAAGTAGAAACAGAAATACGAGCCATCAGGTCAGAGTCAGAATCTGTTATTTGCTAAAGATTTCTGGGTCTGGAAGAAAGAACTCCAGACAGGACCATTTACAGAAATAAAGCCATTTTTAGAGTGATTTGACATGTTAAAACTGGCACAGTGCAAGCAAACAGACTAAACGTTACAGCCTGAACTGTTTCATCAACACTCCACAGGCAGCTACTCCACATCTTTCTCCATATCGGTGCCTCTACTGCCAAACCCTGACACGGCCCGAGCAAACTCCTGTTAAGGTACCGAGTGCGTGAATCGCGTTACTACGGTCAGTTCTGACTGCCTCTTCTACAGCATTCCCCCTGCGGAACTGCGGGGGCACTGAATCCACCGATACCATCTCTGCTGTGTCTACAGAACGCCAGATCCCACGTACATAGGTACAGTTGCTGAAGGAACATCACAGAAACCAACCTTTTGGCGACCACATTCTTACAACTGTCTGCCTACGTTAAATTACTGCAGAGATAGATGAACATGTACGTAAGTAACCTGAGTAGTAAATCACGAGATTAACATTTTTTTAAGATAAATCAGACAAGAAGGACATGGAGCTGCTGGAGCGAGTCCGGAGGAGCGCCACGAAGATGATCCGAGGGCTGGAGTACCTCTGCTATGAAGACAGGCTGAGAGAGTTGGGGCTGTTCAGCCTGGAGAAGAGAAGGCTCCAGGGTGATCTTATTGCAGCCTTCCAGTACCTAAAGAGGGCCTACAGGAAAGCTGGAGAGGGACTTTTTACAAGGGTGTGTAGTGACAGGACAAGGGGCAATGGATTTAAACTGAAAGAAGGGAGATTTAGATTGGATAAAAGAAAGAAATTTTTCACTCTGAGGGTGGTGAGGCACTGGAAGAGGTTACCCAGAGAAGTTGTGGATGCCCCATTCCTGGAAGTGTTCAAGGCCAGGTTGGATGAGGCTTTGGGCAACCTGGTGTAGTAGAGGGTTTCCCTGCCCATGGCAGGGGGATTGGAACTAGATGATCTTTGAGGTCCCTTCCAACCCTAACCATTCTATGGTTCTATGTATGTACATATTCATGTGTGTGTCATACAACACACCAACACCTATGCACCTGCACACGCTGTGCATTACCTTGCTTGCTTTTGACGGGCTCTTGCAAGTCTTTTGTGAAGTATCTGGGGACGGACATTCAGAAGTAGGCTCTGGATTTTCAGGATCAGGTTCTACAGACATAAAGCAGAGAGAAACATAAAAGTGGGAAAATCAAGTCTTTTGCAAAGATTGCTAAGCACTTTGTGTTTGACTTTAAAAGAGCTATTAAAGTTGTTGTAAGAGACTATTCAGTATGTTAGGTGTCATACAAGGTCATCTGCTTACTGACCTTCCATGAATTCAGTGAAAGAAGGGACCTTAAGCTGCAACTGGGAAATGAGATTTGAATGAGATGAAGGTGGAGACTGAACATGAGACGGTGAGCATGGGCTACAAGGTGATGCTCCCCCTACAGATGAAGCAGACCCAAACACAGGATTAGAATGATTACGGACCTCCATGGGGGCACTGGTTAGATTTATCTACCTTCGACATCATAAATCAACTCACCACTGTCCTTGTCTTTCCTATGATCACTGAGAAGTAAAGCTCTCTGATAACTCCGTTCTCTCACTTGTTCCACAGAGGTTGATGCAGTCCTGGAAGAGAGAAGCACATTTTAAATTTAAGAGGATGTACTCCCATGGACCCAATTTAGGACAATGTACATGCAAATCCTGGGTCAGAGAAAGTTTACAATGTTGACCGCATGCAAGAGCCCAATAACTGGTGGTACATATGGAATGTGATTTGATAAGTATTTTGTATCTTATTTCCTCCCACTTCAAATACACTGATTTCCTACAACCTTGTTACAAGAACTGACAATCCCTCTTGATATGGAAACATCATCTGTAGGTCTGTGGGTTTTTTTTTCCTGTTTCTAAACACTTGAAAAGTCAAAAACTACACTTAAAAAAAATAAAGGTTGCAGGTACTGCTTCATATTCACCATCTGTCCTCTTCCAAAGCTGGAAAGAGTTGTTTTTTGCTTTTGTTTTTTTTTGTTTTTTTTTTTTTTAAAGAATTTGCTCTTTAATAGTGGATCTGTAGTTGTAAATACTGGACAACTACAAATACATCTCTGTTTAAGCTTCTACATTGAACTTGCCCAACAGCGGGTATGAAATGACAGTCGTACCTTCTCTCTTGTAATCAGTTCTGCCTGCCAGTCACAACCTGATCAAGAACATCATAAACGAAAGCACCTACAAAACTCGTTTTGCTTTCAGGCAAGAACGTCCGGCGTTACTCTACAACACTGTTGTACTGAAATACATTTTGGTGCTGTCTGCAGGATTACTGCAAAAACTTACTAATAAATTCTTGCCTGTTCCCACATTCTTTGCATACAATATAGTATGGTAGCTTCTGCGTAGTGAACTTACAGCCCCCTTTTCAGTGAAACTTTCAAGACTGTATTTACATTCTCCCTTCAATTGGCTCTACAAAATCCTTCTATTCTGGAATAGCTGTAACACCTGAGCAGAAGGATGTTCAGCTCCTCAGCCCAAGTTCATCCCCAACATGGTTAGGCCTTCACTACAGCATAAAGAACACCTGCAGGGTTTATTTTCTACCAGTAACATTTTGGAGACAGCATCACCACAATTGACTATCTACCTTAAGGCTACCAAAACCGCAGATGTTTATACAGACTGAAGTCATTCTATCTCATCTGCCTTCACACTGTATCTTTGTTGTTGGAGTATCCGGTATGGCATTCAGCAGAGCATATGGACTGCACACAGGGGAACCATTTAACGACCATAGGCAACAATGGAAGCATCACCACGTGCTCTCTACCTGGGCAGAAGGAGCTGCTGAGCAGACTGCATGCAGCCCCGCACCCTGTGCTTGTGCAACAGCAACCACCACAAACACGTTCTAGCCAGGTCACTGAAAAACAGACTTCCTGAAGTCTTCTAGAAGCTTTTGCTAATCAATATGGATTATTCTCCTGTTCCACTCTTCTTCCCCACAGTACTTCTGGAAAGGTTTTGAGATTTAAGATGAAAAATATTCTCTTCAGGCCACAGACAAAGCAGTGGAGATACAAGGCCATGCTGAGAACTGGACTCAAGTCTCTCGCAGCCATTACAGCATCCTCTCCAGCCTACTGCTGCTCTCTCCTCCACACACCTGAACAAGCACACGCAGCCCGACTCGTGCAGTGGTGGAAGGAGGACGTCTACTCACCGATGCTGTTTTCTACAGACTTGCAACTGTACTTTACCTTCACAATTTTATAACTCACAGAACTAGGCAACTTGTCCTGCTCGAACCACTGTCTATTTTGCTCTTAGAAAATAAAAAAGCAAAGCTGAATGAAAGTAAGTTAACCAGTATCTTATGGATAATTTTTTGTATATTCTAATCTTTATGAGGCATCTGCTGTATTTCTGAGGAAAGAGATAAGACAACTCTTCACTAATCTGAAAGACAGGCTCCCAGTCGCTCATCTGGAACTGCACCCTTATCAATGAAAACCAGATTTCAAATAGAAAAAGATTCAGAATTAAGTAAATAATTCTTCAGCACTTTAGTCCCATAGTTTTGTGGCTTACCACTGAACTTCTGGTTCATTCTTCTCGCTGGAAGAAGATTCCTTAATTGCACAATTGTTGCCAACATCTTCTGGAGCTGCATTATACACAGTAGTTGGCAGTGGTACAGGTAGGCTTGCAGCACTATCAGTTTGCTCCCCATTTTCACCACTGTTGTTATACCCATCATTAGCACCATTGTTACTACTTGTATTTCCTCCACCAGCAGCATGAGGAGATACAGTAGTAACCAGGGGGAAGTTTTCTGTCTTTGAGCCACTTTTTCTAGCTTCTCGTTGTCTCTTACGGTATTCTAATAAGGACACCTAGGGAGGAAAAAAAAAAAACCACAAAACACAACAAATGTTAGAAGGGAAGTTTGTTTCCTTTCTCACCATTTCAATTAAATGTATTCTTTCAGTAAGACATACTATTTACTTGGTTCTAAAAGAAAATGGGGACAGATTAATTGAAGAGACTTCGCCACATCTGCTGTGAATTTACAGACTACTGAGCTACTAATGACTGTAAGGAGAATGTAAAAAACAAAATTCTGCCAAGAGAAGGAAGTCCATTTCTTCCCTGAGGCAGAACGCCCAAGATGATGCAGGTCAGCAGAAGGTTTGCTGCTGAAGTCATGCTGTTGGTTGAAGCTCGAAGAGCCTTTACAGTTCTTCCTGGAACTGCAGCATTAGTAAGAACACACTGACACAGTAAAGCTAATTTTAAGAGATGTCACATCCTGCTCTGACTCCCTCAGATGAAAAACTCACCATGCTTCTGCTTCGCTCTGTGTCTATCAAAGGATCCTCTAAACGTTTTATACTTTTTTCTTAACACGGAATGCGCAACTTAAACGTCGTTCTCTTCCTGGTTTATTTTGAATTTCTGTCTTTACTGCACTCCAGAGAACACTGATTAAGAACATATTCTAAAGCTAAATTTCAAATAAAGTTTATTACCAAAACCAATGACACATGAAGGGAAAAGTGGTTTTCTACTTTATATGTATATAAAATCACCACATAGAAGCTTCTATAGAATAAGAAACAGTTTAAATGTTTAGTAAGTTACCTTCAGTCATAAAAAGAAGTTTTCAAGTGTTTTCAACTATGTATCATCAGAATTTGAAGTAGAAAGCTGAAACATTGACCTTCAGACCTACTTTGTTCAGTAATGACACTACTTTGGTGGAAATAACATTTAATGCCTTTAAACCTTTTCTTCTAGTTATCAACGACCTACTCTGAACCATACAGCATCCAAACCAAGAAACTAAAACGCAAAAATGAAAAAGATTCATATTTATATTGAGGTTTAAGCCAGTTAAAGGCAGACATTATTTCTACTACACGGAGAGAAAAACTCAAGCAGCCTGTTTTGTTTGCAGTCCTAGGGTTTTTTGTTTGTTTGCTTTCCAACAGATCTATCCACTGAAGATTCATCTGTCTGTCAGGGCAAGAAACGCTTAAAATACTTGAGATGTTAAGAATGGATGAAACCTATGCAGTGTGGCCACACTGAAATGGGATGAACTTGTACCATGGTGAGAGAAAAAGAGATGAACAAATGCCCATAAAAATGTTGAAATATGAGAAAACCTCCTTCAACAACTGCATAAGGACATTCATGTCTCGTGTGACCCTAGGGAAAGGATTTTCTTATTTTCCTACAAAATTCCTGAATTTTCACCTTCTCCTTAGGTGAGACTTCGCACCCCCCCCTCCCGCTTTTTAAACTACAGAAAGCTGCATTTTTTTCTGTGTCCCTGGAAGGCCTAAAACTCATTATTTCAGGGCCACAGATAGAATTTTCTCTGGTTGTTTCTTCAAACTGAGACTTTTAGACAGGAATCCTAGGGAAGTGTCAGGGGGAAGCCACACCTTTTTTCGTCTGGAGATTAGTGTAGCATAAGCCGTCAGCACTAACAACCTGGAAGAATGCTTGTTGGAAAGAGAAAGGGGGGAGGGTTACTGAAGCCCTAAGCGTTGCTGGGATCTGAAAGGAAATTCACTTAACCTTGAGACAAAAAGAATGTGAAGCTACATAAATTTTGGCTTCTTTTATATTTTTTTTGGCTTTGACAAAACAGGATGACTATACAGTAACACGCATGGGATCTGTAAAATTCTCAGGGTCAGGACCAGGTAAGAACGGAGGTCCTACCATCTTGCTTCAGTAATGTGTCAGTTTGAAGCTAAGTAAACAAAAATCCAATTCAGATGGAGAACTTCTGAAGGAAGAATCCCGAGTGCTCCCTAGCAGGATGCCCCCAGAGCACAAGGGAAGAGGTGTGCATAGGGGGGTGTGCAATGCAAAAAAAGCCAAAACCCCATCGTGCATGTACAAACACACACAGAATATGCCCCCACCTCCCTGATCATTACTTCCATCAAGAAAATAAATCACATCTTTCTAAAAAGAAACACGACTACAGTCCATTAGGAGACAGAACTGGAAAGCTGTTGCATTGGAGACTACTGCCTTCCATGTTTGTCATCCTTTCTATGAGGAGCAAAGGGAGTCTAACCTGACAGTCAAGTGCAGTAACTTCCAATTCTGGTTTGGTGTGCCGATGAGCACACAACTGACCTACAAGAACTGCTTCCTGAGAGTAGTAAATTTAGACTGTGCTTATTTTTCAAACACAGTATTTTATAAAAAAAGAAATTAAGCCAAGAAAAAGATTTCTTGGAACTAAGGATTTCTGGGTAGTTCTAACAGTGAAACCAAGATACCTTAAATATGTAAAATTTGAAATTTTGAAGTCTTAGGTCTTAGTATAAATCTGTTATGAACTACTGCAAGAAGTTGCACTAACAAATGTTCCCAGTATACGATCTCGATGATGCTGGTATATATTCTGTATAGTTGAATACTGTAATACTTAGTGGCATAAGCAACCATTTTCAAACCTGGAAAGCAATTATTTATTGAGCAATTAAATTAATACTCATATGAAATAAAGTGAAATAGTATTATTACTTGGAAAAAATAAATTTACTAATGGGTGTATGCAACTTTACTCTTCATTATTTCCCCTGAACAATGTCTCTACTACACTGTAGAGTCTAAAGATGAGCCATCAGTTGTTTTTTATTGTATTATGGCTCTTTCTGTTATAGAAATATCATTAGCAGACTACGTAAGACAGACCAAACGATTCTTAAAATTATAACCTTTTTCTTTTGTGGAGGATTCTGGGGTGTGCAATTTCCATCCATCAAGTTGTCGTTATTGACAGTCCTTCCAAACCCAGATGCAATTCCATCTTCTGAAGTACAAAAAACAGATGCTTCCATGAACATGCCTCTAGCATCGTCTTGAATCAGGCACTTTGACTCGCTTATTCTGAATCCACCTCCTACCTCCAGCTGATGTGAAGGGGTCAAGTCCCTCAAATTAGAATTCATTGAGAAATTTACACCTGTCCTGTCGGGACTTTTTACCCAGGAAGAATAAATTGTGCCCCGTCCACAATGAGCAGTTTCTAATTGGCTGTTTGAATCAGTCCTATCATGTGTGGGGGCTTCCAGGTTTTTATGCAGTGCACTTTGCTCAATTACTTCGAGTCCCAGCTGGAGGTCTGACACAGATTCCATTTCTCCAGTGCACTGCCGTGTGACATCAGTCCTATTCCTTGGACTGGAATATCCAATAGTCTTTATTTCTTGCAGGCCCATTTCTGTCAGGTTGGAATTTCTGAAAGAATTCAGTGCTAGAATCGATGCTCTGTCATATCCCTGCACGAAGAAAAAGCATGTCAACTATTTTTCCACACTCCAACAAAATCACATCTATTCTGACATTCAGTTGTGCCTTTAAGCGGGATTAAAGGCCTTCCAGTACCATGAATTTTTCTATCTTTAAGAAACAGTTCTACAGCCAGACACTTATTTCTACTATTGCAATGTACTAGGTAAAAGCATTTTAATATAATGCACATTAACCAAAATCAAAATAAACTTTAAATGCCAGGTTTTGATTTATGACTGGCAGAGGAAGGGGAGGAGCTGCAATAGAAGCAAGTCCCTGACCAGGACGTTACAAAGCACTTGCTTCAATCTGACATGAAAGGGATGCTCAGTGTCAAAATATTTATTTTGGCGGCATGGGGGGAAGGCAAAGCAAAGCTTTTCTGAGACACTTTCAATATTAAAACCACTACTCTGTAAAGGGGAAAAAAATAATTTCTTAAGTGACAGAAACTTCCTTTCTACTTCTTAATACTGTACTAACCATAAGAAACCCAGCACGTATCCATGGCTGGAAGCAGCTTTTCTAAACCAACACTATGTAAGGTTTTCACGAGTCCTTTTTAGATTTTTTTGTATTACAAAGCAAAATTTCCTAAGTAAAAACCCTCTTTTTGAGTCAGATAAACATAAAATTATTCAATTACAACAGTTTTGAGGTAATTGTTAAATTCAGTCGACAGATATGATTGTATGAAAAATTCTGTGCGTTTCAACATTTGTTAGGATTTTGACCTAAAAAAAATACACATGTATGCGCTTAACTTCCAGGGGAGATATTTGGATCATTCATTTACAGGACTCACCAGAAGTTAAATTCTCCATTAGTACAACCCGCCAGATCTTTTAACTGTTACTTATTTTTACCTATTCCTTTCAGGTGCCATTAAATTTACAGTTCAACACCTTTACACAAATTGTGTAGTTACCACACTGAATTCAAGCTCCACCCTGCTGTGGAACATTTTCCCCACTCCTGTGCCAGGCCAAAAGGTCCCAGTGGGAGTTCTCCTGTTTCAGAGCTGTGCTTCCCTCCAGTGGCCCAGCCACCGGCCCCAGCCCTGCCGTGGGACTCATCCATCCCATCCCCCAGGCTGGGAATACCCGGGCGCACTGCAACAGCACTTTCTGCACCTGAACAAATCCACCTATTACCCATCTGCTCTGCTTTCTCACTCTAGGCATAACTAGGCTCAACAAAAACACTTACGACATGCTGGTAACAAGGAGAAATAACTGTTAGTTTAAATTTAACTACAGCCTGAAAAGCACAAGTGGTGTTCTTCTGTTCTGATCTACACATTGCAGTAGTTACTTCTTTCCGTGACAGTCATCAAGACTTTTAAGAGATACAGAAAAAGAGGAGAGAGAAACCAGTTTAAAATAGAAAATGAAACAGGTAAAGTGGAAATATACAGAAATAAGCAAATAAAACCTGTTAAGGAAGTTACCCTTTACATTTCAGGAAACTTGCATGGCTGGGTAAAAGCATTTACTAAGAATGGTGCAGCCCTACAGGTGAAATAAAGATACTATTTGCAGTTTTTGGCAAATATCCTTACCTCTTGACTGTAAGCTCGCCTTTTTATTTCTGGAGAACTGTCAGGTGAGGAAATATTCTAAATAAATAAGAAGAAATTGCAAGTCAATTTCTTTTTTAGCCTGGAGAAATCTAAAACACTCCCTTGTTGCAGGAGTACAAATACTGATTGACACTAGAATGCCTGAACACATTCTCTGAACACACTGAAATTCATTATAAATCTCACCTCAAAGTGCATGGTATTTCCATGTATACATGGAGTTACAGGAGTAACAGGTGAATAGATGGGTTTGTAACCATTTCTACAAGCTTCATCTTCTGTTTTTACCCTAGGAGGAGTAGCAAACAACGATGGCTCGGAGGCAGTGATGTCGGCATGAGTTGGTGTGGCATACGGAGAAGGAGTAGGTGTGGAGGTTTCTGAGAATGCAGACTCCAACAGCTGATACAGTCTTCGTTTTTTGAGTGGTGTGGTTAGATCTGTGTGTTAAAATTAGAAATAAGCCAGAAAAAAATCTAGATATAGTAATCACAGTTGTTTAAGTACTTGATGTAATGAAATTATGAACTTCACATTAAAAAATCAGTAAGATTACGAAAGTCTCTTAAGGGCAGGCTTCCTGAAAGATGAACTCTTCACAGCCTACAGGTGTATCAGTAACTGAAATCTGTGTGCTAGGATGACGGGAAGAACTGTTTATGTTTCCAGAAAAAGGGAAATTAACTTCTTAAGACTGTTCAGCTAAAAAGCAGAAATTCCAAGTTCAGGACGGTACACAGGAACCACTGACATGCTCCACATCCTTACAGAAGTATGTTTAGTTTTTAGCATGTTCCCATTTTGTATCATGTCTACAAGATTACACAGCTTTTCCCCTGTGAGCAACACAGCCCCACTGAATTTAGAAAAGGAATTCTGTATATATAGAACAGCGTGGAAAATGGAGTTATCATCTAACCTCTTACACTCATAGTTAAAAAGTCTTTTGTTGACTGTAAACACTATGAAATATGATGGTTGCTTATCTAGAATAAATTATACATTAAAGGAGGAAAAAAATCCCAACCACTACACAACTAAGCATTTCTTTCAAATAAAGTCAGGAAACAGTGCAAATACCCCTGGAATTTTCATTAACACATCACAGTCCTCCACTTTTAACTACTGTAACATAGCCCTTACGTACGATGTTGGTAAAAGCTTCACCTGTTAAGGAACAGCTGTCATTCAGTAATAAAGGACTTTTATTTTCACCATTGATGGCTGGACTTCTACATCTCTCTTGCGATGGTGAATTAAATCTCTCAATCATTGTTGAATTTTCTTCTTCCAAAGCCTGCTTCAGCCAACGCTGTAACAAAACAAGTTCAAATTAGTAACTTAACAGTTTAATGATAAACATTTCAAAACGCATTACACATGACAGAATTCGTTTGTCAACCAGCTTTTTAGTGCCTGAATTCATGCCAGCAAATGAAGACTTACTTTTAATTAATATGGGATGGGAAACTATAATGAAGTGAAGCATTACCTTCTTACAAGAGCCAGTAATGTTTTCCACAGGTTCTTTTTTCCTCCTCTTTTCTGAAAGGAATGGTGAAGTAAAACGAATATAGTGCTTTGGAGTTGAATATACATGTGGACTGTAAGTGAGACCTGGCAAAGAATTCAGCTGAGTAGCCAGAACTTCAGGGTCGGTAGTTATGCGTAGAGGCCTTTCTGATAGACTGTCTGTAGGCTTCCCTGTTTTATCACTCTTTTCACTTAACCATTCACTGACCAAGTGCTAAACAGAGAGAGAAAAAAAAATTAGTGGTTTATGAGTGTTTTTATCAGTGGCTTTTAGAAATTTTTTAAGTCTAATTATTCACCTAGTCAACTGTTACACAAACCAGAAAACAGCTAGTTTCCAGGCTGCAAGTTTAACAACATACAGTGCAAGAACAAGGACTGTTTCAGTGAAACAATGGGGACAGAAGAAGGAATCAGTAATGATTTACTCTCCATACTAAAGTTTGGGGGGGAGGGTTGCTTTTTGTGTTTTGGTTGGTTTGGGGCTCCTTTTGTAAATTAACATTTAGGTTTTTTGTATTTAATTCTCACTGAATGTACTACAGAAGTGCCCAGATCAACTGTACTTATGATGTGAAATTATTAACAGAATTCCAAAACAGATTTTTGTTTGAACTTGTGCCTGAGCACCTAAGCTGAGGGGAAATAGTTTAACAGGAAGAAGTTAAGTAAACTCATCAGATTTCTGTACTGTCAGGACTATGCTCAGTCAATGGGTCAGGGAGACACCTCGAACATTCTTCACGATTGCAGCTGTATTAAATTACAACTCATTTACTAAGGCTTGTTAAAAAGGGTATGCTTTCCTAGCTAGTTGAGTGTTTTGCAAGAAAGTGCCAGTGGATTTTAGTTCCTATTAACAGATAAACTAACCTTCTAAATTTTACACAGGTTTAACAAAGTTAAGGACATGCAAAAATAGCACATTAAATATTAATAATAGGATACTGAGGCTTTAACACAGATTATAATATATGTCCTCATCTTTTACAGACCTATTCATATTTATTAATTCATGTCTAAAGGAGGACTTTCTCCTCACTTAGAGTACACTGGGTACAGTAAAATGAGACATTGCAGACATTTATCCTCAATACTACGAAACAGCAAAAAAGTGACGTAAAATTCAGGTTTCTCAGGTATCTTCCTTCTTTTTTTCTATGCAACATGCAAAAAAGGAAGAAAGATTCTATTCTCCCCTCTGACAAGAATTTAATAGTGATGCAATAAGCAGCATCACAGGATGACCTGGGTGCTCTTTGAAAAAAATGAAGTATATATGTTAAGTAAGATCGGGGGTTTAAGACAAAACCATCCTGAAATTGTTATTGTTCATTTGACAAGAAGTTTCAACCTATGACGTCCTCCCCCTTTCCCTCCAACAATTAAAATTTACAGAAGAACCTGTAAAGCATGCTGAAAAAGTCACTTTTTAATGCAGTCTGTAGAATTTTAAAGCAGAGTTTTACTGCTTTATTCACACTTGCAGATATAAGATTTTTTTGAGTGTCTTTAAATACTGTGGCATTTCAAGCTTTTTGCAGTGCAATCCAATAGAAAATTTAAAAATAAAGCACTAAAGAGAGTTAAGAATCTTCCCTTCAAACACACACATGAATTTTGAGCTTCTGAATCCAATCACTTCAGAATAGATATCTCAGAAGTAACAGAAGTTGATTATTTCCTTTGAGATATTCTGTTTGCTACCATTAAAATACCTTCTAAAGCATATGATGAACAAAGGAAGGAAAGGCAACTTTGATTTCTTTTTTTCTTTTGAATTAACAGCTTTAATTATGTTATGGTTATGTACGTTATTTCAGCCCATTTAGAAAGTACTTCCCTTAGAAAACATTAATTCCAAAACATATATTTTGGAAGTCTCTTAAAATCCAATATAGCTTCTACCTACAGATGTTACATTTACCTTTTTTTAATCTCTTACTTTATTACCAGTGAGTGGCTATGTAATGCTGATTTTTTAAAGAAATGAGTCAACTCCCCCCCCGCCCCCCCCAACCTGTACAGTTTTCAGTAGTTGTATACTGATGCAGCAGCCTATAATTTTTTAAAACTCTGCTAAAATCCATCCTCTTCTCCCCATCCGTTAAGAGACATACCTTCTTTGTTTTAGGGTACTTAGTAGGGCATTTATTAAGTGCTGGAGCTTCCGTTTCAGTAACCATTTCTGTAACAACAGTTTCTGTTTCAGGCTCAGCTACCAGTGCAGCATTCTCAGACTCATTATGTTGTGAAGTTACTTCCACATCAGGAGAAGATGGCTGGATATCCGAACACATGCTGACAGTTCTGTGTCGTCTACGTTGCTGTCCAATGTGAGTTCTACTCCGTGAGAAGCTTTTCCTCTGTTTAGCTCTATTAACTTTGGCTGGGGTAGGCTTGGTGGCAGTTTCTTCTTTTGCTGGTTCCTGGTACAAAATAGAAGTCTAGTAAACAGATCCCACACACGTAAAGCTACATATCTTTCTTGAAGCAAAACATCAGTTCCCTCTTCCTTCACAAGTCCAAAAAGCCTCTATCCCATTTTTGTTGTTAGAACTAAAATACTTCAGAGATAATATTTCCATCCTTCTTCAGGGCAAACCACAAGATTTCCTGTATTTTACTCCCAAGCACTTGCCCTATCATTGGCAGAGTATTCACACACCTTAGTCACTGGTCGTTATCACTGGGGATTTGTTAATAACTGCCATACCACATTCATTCATAAACTAGAAATCAGCTGCTTACAGCATGATGTCCAGTATCTTTTCAGTCCAACATCCTTTTTGTAATTCATAGTTTATCAAGTGCATAGCAATATCACAAAAGGTACTTAACAGCATTGTGACAGAAATTATCCAGGGAACCACCTGAACTGACAATCTGTAGGACTATTTGCAAGGAAAGAAGCATGCTAGCATTCAGCAACAATAGAGTAAAAAATTACGTATAAAACATTAACCATCATCTGCAAGAACTCAGAACAAACTACACCTTAATAATTCCTTTCCTTTAAAAGGAAATAAAGGAATACAATCTCTTCCTGAATAACCCACTGAAGAAGCAAGTTGTTCTCCACTGAAGCTAGCTTTAAAATAAAGTTCCAGATAACTACCTGAATAAATTCAGCATCATTGAGAATCTGTGCTTCCTTGCATTCTGATTTAACCTCAGTTTTTGCTGTGCTGATTCTTTCCAGAGCCTGTTCTCTTCTTTTTTCTCTTTTTTCTAGCCTGGCAAAAGCTTGCAAGATAGCTTCCATTTTCCGTTCTTCTCTTGTCTGATGGATTTAATAACAAAAAGTTTCAGTCAATCTTTTGCATATGTAAATACATAAATAAATACTTTTTTAACTACTTCAGAACACGTTCAGTGTATGTTCACATGGAGATCAATTTCAGCAGAAGCTCAGAGGAAAAGGAGATGTTACAATGACTGCCATTATTACAGACACTGGCCTATAAGCATAAAAAGAACACACAGCTCTGAGCCACTTAGTTGTATGTACAGTACTTAAAAACAATGAAACACTAATGACCAGAAAGACGTGAAATGCTAATACATGTATGAAACAACAAAAGAAAGCTCCATTACCCTCCAACTCAATTTTGCAAGTGTCACAAGCTACATTAAAACATACAATCAACATCCAAGAATCACTATTATAAGTAATATAATATCAGGACACAGTCTGAATTTTCTGTCTATCCTTAATTCAGGTCCCAGTCTTGTACAGAGGCAGATCTCTTCGTCTGCACAGAGCTCTGCTTAAGACAATACAGAGGTGGCAGAACTACAAACTTTATTTTTTTTAAACAAACGCCTGCAGCTCTACAGTGCGTTGATCGCGACAATATGTTTATATCAAAGAAGAATACCTGCAAATATATTGCCCATAGGAGTGAAAGAGGAACCCAATTTTGTTTTGCCACTGAAGGCGCCTTGGTAAAATACAGGTAAACTTGCAGTTATTTGAAATATTTATAACAAAGCTGGAGTAATAATTACATCTTTAAGTACTACAGCAACTCTGCTGTAACTAAGTTTCACAGAGAGCTTTGCTTTAGTAAGAATACACATGTAAAGTGCCAAAAAAAAAAAAAACCACTAAAACAACAGCACATGCTCAACAAAACCAATACATTCAACAGTATTTGATGAGAATCATTCCTCAAAAGCACAAGAAGACACCATTGTATGTTAGTATTATATTAGAGCTCATGCTGGCATTCTTCAGATTTCATATTAAAATGTACATTTTACTTTCTGCTGTCTAATAAAAAGTCTCATCAATTTCGCTACTGACAGAGCTGTAGGAATTACTGACCAAAAGGAAGGTATACCCCATCCCCCTTTATTTTTTTTACAGTCTGGGCAGATGTAGACAGTTTTGGTGACACCTTGAACTCCACTTACCAGAAGTTCTGTAAGTCCAAACAATAAAATCAAAGTTCAAAATATTAGTATTTCATTATAAAACTTGGCCAAGATTTTGATTTAACTAGTAATTTCAAGTATCTCACATTTTGAATGCCTAATGAAAAAAGTACATTTTAAAATGCCAGTTTTCATAACACTGTTCTACCAGCCTCTGAAAATTAGGATTTCTGAGGTTTTGTAAGTCGGGAATTCAAAAAAAATCAGGCAAAAATCCTGACTCCCAATACTATGTATAAAAACGGTCATTACAAATAACACACAATAATAAAGAGCTAAGAAAATAAAATCTAGATTATTTCTACAGTGTCTTTTTTAAAGGCAATAAAAAATCATATACATTTGAAGATAAAAGCAGGTTTTTGTCAGAAAGCAATGATCAAGCCAGATGAAATGTTCTCAAATAGCAAGCTTTGCATTTTAAGTTGAAGTTCATGTAAGGATCTGACTTCATCAGATATTCATATACTCAGATTCTACAAGCCTACAAAAGGCAGCAATTAGCATGGGAAGAGCAGGTGTCACTAAGCCTTAGTGACAACTTTAGGCAGTTACTTGCTTCCCGACTTACCATCTTCCTTTTCCTTTCTGCAATCTGCTCCTCTGATTCCATTTCTACTTCATTGCTAATGGGAGTTTTTTCTTCTATATCATCAATAAAATCTGGCTCCTGAAAGATGGAAATGACTGCTTTACAGAAGCTCTACTACTCTTCCAAACTAGGGAAAACTAAAAGCTACACAGAACTAAGAATCCTCAGATCACTACATCAAAAATAACCAAGCCAACAAATCAAGACAAAAAAGTAAAAAAACTTAGCATCCACTTGTACCTTTGTATAAACCTGAAAACATGATCACCTGACTAGATCTTTTCCATTCTGCCCTTAAACACATTTCTCTTTTTTCTTTAGCATACTGATCTGATGGGAATTTTGGGGTTCCATCCCCCTCCCCCCCAAAAAGCATTAGTTTCATTGAAATAGAATGAATATCAAAGGAGATTTTAACAATTTGATGGAAGTTCTTCTCCACTCAAAATTGCATTCAATTCAAGCCATATTTTCCATTTAAACTCTCAGTACAGAATCTAATGACAGCGCCATACCACAAAGAAACACAAGAGTTAGCTAACAATGGTTTACTGTTCTGGAAAAAAACAAACCACTCAACCATGAAAAGCAACTTTGGAAAGAGTTAAGTGTTCACTAGCCCTGTACGCAATTACACTTTTACATAAAGGACTAGACAAAGATTTTAAAAGTATTTATCTTAAACGTATATTTACATTTTCCCATGCGCTTTCTTTACGTTAGCATTACATATTTCACCCCGGGAAAAAAAGCTATTAATTGACTGGCTTCTATGGTTATATATGTATGTTCTAACAACTTCATTTTTCTCACAATTCCTACTGGCTTAAGTTCAGTTTTGAAAAACGAGTTCTGCCATGACAGTTCTATGTAAGCACTGTGTATTATGTTAAAAGCTCAGAAGAAGGTTCCAAATACCAGTTACCATTTTGTTAAAAACAAAACACAAACCACCTAAAATGAGAAAGTTTAAACACTGCCCCTCTGGAGATCAGAATTTATAACAGTCACATGCCATGCCTTCTGGACTTCCAAGCATTTTTAAGCTCTTTAGCTACTAAAACTCCAGCACAATTTGATCACCTTATGAAAACTGGAGGTCAACATGGTCATTTTTACCTTATTTTCTTCACTCTTAAAGTCATATTAAAAGAACTAGGAAATGGCTTCCCTTCCAGAATAACTCCTTTTTCTCTGCCCCTAAGTCATTATCAAAACCCATCATGTAAGGAAAAAAAAAATAAAAATCAAAACCACCACCCCCAGAAAGAAAGGAAAAATAGTTACTAAGGTAACCACCTGCTCATGTTAAATATTTATCACTAATAGCTGCTCTGCAAAATTAAGTTTAATAATTCATCTCATGGGTCTCTCTCACTAATTCTTTCAAACTGACATATTAAACGAAAGACTAATTTAAAATTTACTACCATGGTATGTTACCAGGTAGCTTTACCACACCTTCCACCTATTGTCCAGTATTAGCTTCAAAACACACGTTCCTTCTCCCAGCTCCCCAGACTCTATTTCATAGATCCGCAGCAAACACTTAATATTCTGGCTTGAAATTTTATTTGTTATAAAAGCAGGGCTACTTATTACTATGTTTAAAATATTACACTCCTGAGTAACATACGCAACTAACCAGAAGACATTTCTGGATGGACTGGGAGCTCCTGAAAGCATGACACGAGGCTTTCACGTTAGAGATCCAAAGAAATTCAGAGGAAAAACGTATATTAAGACTGGTATGGGAACCAACATATCTTTAAATACAATCAAAATATTAGGGAAAACCAAGAATAGTATAAAAAATTCTAAACAGCTTATCCATCATTATGATTTTTGATAAATCTCCATCCCCCTTTTCAGTGACTTGTTAAAATTCTTTTAGTAACTACAAAAAGAGAGTATTTGTGTTCAAAAGCTTTTCTTTCTGATCATCTTTGTGTCAATACCTGATTATTAGAAATGGACAGCCTGAGGGGAGACAGCTTCCTCTGTTTATTATCTGCGATTTTCATTTTGGTGGCTGCTCCTTCACAGTCCAATGTGATGTTCTGATTTTGAGTCTCCTTTTCTCTTGAAACATCTTTCTCTTTCTTTCCCTTTTTCCTTCTGGTTTCATATCCAGTATTGATGTTTTCTGTAGGCTCAGAACGTCTGAGAACTGGACATTCAGGATTTTCTTTGAGGCAAGCACAATCCACTTTGTATTTACTGAAAGTAATTAAATGCAAGAAGGTGTATTTCGATTAGGCTGTACAGCAATGAGACTTTTCAATACTACATCACACAAGCTGATACATCTCACATTTACATCTGCTATGATGCAAACCAACCATATTAAACGCAGCTGACTCAAGTTTTCACCAAGATACACAATTTTGCTATAATTCAAAAATCTCATCTACCAGTTAACCAAATCTGTGGCTGTTTGCTAGGCAGAATTCTTTTAAATTTAAGGTTAGTATTTGCTTAAAAGACAGAAGACATCTAAAACCTGAGTATATCCTGGGTGGAAATACAACCACCACATTAAAGAAATTAACAGATGCATGGAAGGCTGAGAGATCTTGCTTTATGCAAAGACAGCAGACAATTTACAGAAGGAGCACAGTGGAAAGAACTCAGTCACTTTGTATAATTTTAAGTTCCACTTGGATATGTAGGAACTGTTATTCAAACTCATTCAACTTACACAGACTGTCAGCTGCAGGTACTAAACACAACTACTATATACTTCTAATAGGATAAATAACAAAACTCAATAAAACCTATTAACCAGACGATTTCTCAGCTTGTCTTCATGTGAGGGATGAAGGAGTATGTATACAACACTTAACAGTGAGAAGTATCTTGAGTTAGTCTGAACCCAAGTTGATTAACACAGGTCGTACTCTGTGGATGTAACTAGTTCAGGCCAAGAAGTAGCCAAGGCACGTCTCCACAGCCCTGGGCCCAAGCTGATTTATGAGCAGCCCACAGAAAAGTGTACTACCTTGGTGTAGAAAACATGAAACACAGTTGGACTGCTTCCAGGCCCAACCAAGTGCGCATACAGAAATAGGCTCTGCAATGCTTCTGTTTCCAAGGTTAGTTTTAGCCTAGGTGTTCCTGCACAATGTACCTACATCCTGGAACATCTCCCACTAGCCAAGAGAAATCATTACTAGATCCTATCACTCAAAGGCCTTATTTTGCCATCAGATTTCAAAGAGGTGTTTGAATAACAGTTCCTAAACATGTGAACGGAACTTAACCAATTGTTCCTTTACCATTTCAAAACAATGCTTACAGATAACAGCAACAGTTTATAGAATCTAAGGCACTAAGAATTCAGTGCATTTAAACAGTCTTAAATACATATTAAATAAACACCATTTGTAACTAAAATCCACAGACACTGTCTTCCTGAAGTTACACTACAAAGGAACTCTGAAATAAATAGGGCATGACTGAACACTTCTAGATTTTCTTCCCTCTACTCTCCTGTAACTCTGTTGAAATTAGCAACAGATACGCAGTAACAGAAATACAGAAAAACTCTGCCCGTGCACATGCTGTACATTGTAAACGCAGTGCTTAAGGAGCCCTGTGTTACTGAAGCATGCAAGAAAAAATGAGACAAAAACAAAGGCACTCTGAATTACAACATAACTTAATAACCACTATATGTATTTTAGAACAGCATGCTCAAATACTTACCAGTTTCCATAATCAAAGTCAAATGCTATAGTAATCTCTGCTCCCTTTGGAATGTTATGGATGGAGTAAATATAAAGATGAATTGTTCCATCTTCAATTACATGCCTCACCTATATTCAAGAGAACATTATTATATTATAATTTATTTTTTTAAAAAATAAAAGTAACCGTATAGACATTGTAGGGATTGCTCAAATTATCATTTGGGAAACTCAAGGAAAAGGGGACTTGGAAGTAAATAAAACCTAACTTAACTTAATGTATATGCTCACCTCTGCATTTGGTGTACACGAACGCCTGATGAATCGAGCTTCGTTTCCGAAAGTCCTTGCGTCAACACACATTTCTAGCCCATGGAATTTGGAATAAAACAAAACAAATGGGTACGGCCTGAAAAAGATACAAGAAAAATCGAAGTTTTATCACTTTTAAAGATGCTAAACATCACTATAGATGTTTGGCACGATACACCAGATTTGTGGGTTAATCTGAGAACAACAGGTTTGTGCTTAAGCTTCATGATTATAACTGGTACATTCTCCAAATGTATTCTCAGAACACAGTTTGAGTTACAGCCCTGAGCGTAATTCTCCTGCGTAGGATCTAAAGAGAGGAACACTAACAGGGCAAGCACTAGACACGGAAGATAAGGTTAAGATTCTTCATCTTTCTTAAACTTTTCTTATGGTAGGTACTAAAATGAAATCCAGGTAGAAATTTAGGTGCCTCATAAAATCATCTAAAAAAATACAATAAAATAACACCTCCAGATCCCTGCCTAACATCTACAGTACCACTAGCACCCAACTCTCCTGAAGAAAGGGAGCATCTGAATACTTTGCCAATATGTGCTTTAAGTTCTGCTATTACAAGTGCCAGGGAACCTTCCCATCTTTACCGAGTAAGAGCTCTCTGTTCTCTCTCCTCCAACAGGCCTCTTGCAGTTTCCCAAGCAGGTGTGTGTGTGCAGCTAATGGCAGCACTGAAAACCATCCACAGGAAGAACGAAGCAGTCACACGTTGCTCAGTAACTTAACCAACTAGAGAATTTTGGCAGTAAGAAGGCTCCAAGTTGACATGTGTCTAATTCCATTCTCGGCCTGATGGACTTAAAATCTATTTCTTTTGTGAGAGAGAATGTCTTTGCCATTACTTTCTAATTATTTTAGGATGGTAGAACCTGCCAGTCTCTGGTTTAAGGTGCACAACTATCCAACTGAGAATGCAGGAATCCTGCAACCAGGAAAGAATAGAGAAAAAGGAAACTAACTCCTGAGCAGATCTGTAAGGATATCCAGAAGATAAAGGGTAGACCAGATTTCAGCTGCAATTTTTTTTAATCCAACAATAGTAAAATGCCAGACCAAAATTGCTGGTAACTAAGACCCACTTGTACTTGAGGCTACAGTTCAGCAAACCAGCATTTTAGCAGTTACCTTATTAAAACACTTGGAATAAACAAACCTTTTAAAGAAATATCCATTAGCTTCAAATTGCTCTCTCAGCATGAACTTTCCTCTGTATTCGATAATAAGTGCATCAGGAGGCAAGTCTTTGGCAGCTTTTAAAATTTTCTTGTTTTTTTGCACGTAACTCTGTAAAGACATAATTTATGAAGCATCATTTTCTACCATTTTTCCATTATTATTAACAGCAGATTATACTTTCAAGTCTACTAAACAATTCTGTACGAACTAAAAAAAACCTCCCTTTTTTAATTAAATCTCCAGACTTATTTGATCAAACTGTCCTGTTCCCCTACCAATGCAACTGGTTATGGACTTCGAGTCAAGGAATGTTTTAGCCCTAGTTCTCCAGCACATGGCTGAAAATCGACACATTCATGTTCCTGCAATTCCAGTACTATATCCCTCAGTGCACTTAACTCTTGCCAGTACTAGGACAAATTGCTGCACTGTTTTGCATAACACTTTCAAAAGGTTTCAATTCCTTCAAACAAAAAACACGCAAACATAAAACAAAGTTCATGATTCATTCAAGGAAAAACAGAACAGGAAAATAATAAAATAATTAAAAATAAATAAATAAAAAAAGAATCCTGAGAGAGTTTCCAAACGTCTTATTTCCATATCTTTAGATGGAAGGATGGCTTTTAATTAAAAACCAATACATACCCTGACAATTAGTGAACTCACACCTCTCATAACTGTCATCGCCAACCAAAAAGGAAGTAGCCTCTATGTAGGCAAAAGCCTCTGTAAGCAGGGATATTCCTCTAAGGAGGGTGTCCCATATGCCATGATGGTCTTTGAGGGAAAGAAGCAAAGATGCTTCCATTAATCTAAACACTAAGGTCTGCTACATGGCTCTGATTTTAAGCTGGTAAGTAACTGACGTTAAGGACAGAAAAAGACATTGCCCCATTTTTTAATAAACTAGAAATTACAGGACCACAAGAGTAAAAAAGAAATCAGTATCAGAATATCACCCACCATCAGAAACATCCTTCATGAACTCGTAAATGAAATTCTGTTCTATCTGAATACCAGACTTACCACATCTTAAGAAAGATGTCGACAATTAACATGTTGATACACATCACAGAAAAAAAGACTCCAACTTCAATGCTTCTATCTACTCTAACCGCTCCTGATAATCCTCACAGAGCAGAGAAACAGCAGCAGCGAAATTTGCTGTGTTATGCCCACCAGAGAAGTCAGTCTATGGACAACCCAATGACCAGGGTCAGGCTAGCACCTTAGTTATTTTTATGAGAACTGGTATGTAAGTGTAAACATAATCATATGTGATACAGGATGTATGAAAATCAATTACAAATTCTGCAAAAGCTGTTAAAACTGACCCTTAGATCTGGCGAGACAAGATACAGAAAATTAACGTGAAAATGTGAAGTGTTTGTCTGCCCTCCTCTGTCCCCTCTTTTTTTTTTCTTTTTTTTTTTTTTAAAGGCATCTAAATAGTATTTTTGTCATGGCACAAAACCAGCATGCAGTAACACAGCATGGCACAGCTCATTACCTCTACTGGAGGTTTGAAAATCAGATTGCTGGTGCTGACTTCTTTTTTGTCATTTCCATTGCCTAATCTCAGAGCTATTTTTTGTGCCTCCCTCTGGACGCCCTCACTGTACTGGTTATTATTTGCTTCTTCATAACGATCCATCCATGCCTTGATTTTAGTTTCCCATCCAAAGTTCGAACTGTCAGTAGGATCAATCTCTGGCGCTGAGCCCTAAAAATTAAAATAAGTGACCAGATATTAGAAGGCAAGAAAAAGATATTAAAATTGAAAAAATAAATCTACAAGACACAAAATGAAGGGTAAAAGTATGCTATTGATTAAAGGCTTTTTTTCTTTTTAGGAAGTCTGGTTTAAAATTCTGCATTACTTAAGAGCATTGAGTTGAATTCAGCAGCATTACATCTGTCCTTTTATGAATTTTATCATTTCCCAAATATTGCCCAAGTTCAGGAATACATTCCTTCTTCAATACAGATTCTAGCTTTCCGTGGGATGAGAACTGAGACTGACATTGGTTCCTCCCACAATTGCACTTCCTCACGAATCTATGAGTGCAGGAGTTGGAGAGTTAGGTCTCCCTTCCTACTCAACTTTTGTGAACATAGGCAAATATAAAGAACTCCAACTTCCATCCTACAATACACAAATTTGATTTTCCCCTTTCAACTTCAAGGGTCACGCCGTATCTTTTTTCCATTTCACGTACGACTAAACTTTGCTAATCCTAGTGAAGTTGTGCCTACTACATTAAGGTTGTGACTCTAATGTTACAGGCTTTGCACAGATCATTTTTCTCCCCTTATCTGTTCCACACTAAACAATTTTCTTCCACAGTGCTTCAGATCCTTTCACTTTTAAAGAAAGTGCCGTTGTACCTCCAGACCTCACAAGCACCAGCCAGGCTGCAGCCAACCAATGCTCCTTACGGACAGCAGCAGCCAACAACGCTCCCTTTTCTATCCACCTGAGCAGAGACACTATTAAACATTAATAAAACAGCAAGCAGTTCAGCAATTCAATTTACCTGTTACTGATTACATTTCTTTTGTGCATCAAGAGAACCATACACACAAACAGCATTAATAAAATGTGTGATGATGCTACGGAAACCACAAAAAACACACAATGGAACCATACAAACACCATATTTAAAAAGACAAAATAGCTATTTTCTTTCCCAATTCCGTCTTCGCTATTAGCAAGTCACATCTTATACATTTGAAGTGTAAACTGTGTCCCACTTGTTTTTATATATCCCAAGGACGAACAAACTAGGGGAAATACCTCGTTTTCATACCATGTGTATTTTTATCTCGTAAAAAAAATTAAAAGACTGCTATAACACTTAAATCTTACAAAGCAGACATCCCAACACGATTCCTTAAACTATGCCAGCACTAGTGAGTAGAGTCCCACCAGAGGAATACATGGAGGTATGAGAGTAGAATCACTGTTTAGCTTTCAAATGCAATATAGCCATTTCATTCTTTTGCTGCTTAGAGCTATAAACAGCTGGAGCTACTAAGTTCAAATAAGGCGTGCAGCCAATTTTACTCCCTTGCACAGCACAAACGAGCCTGAATTCTTCCACTGGCTCTTGAAAATCAAGGATTCTCAGAATAAAAACTTACACTACACTATTTCAGTTAACTTCGCAGGACATAAAGATGTAGTGCTACTACCTTCATTTAAAATTACTATGATGCATATGTAGCACATTAGTTATCGAGAGTATTTTAGTGCTTAATGTATAGCCCCAATTGCACTCTTGATGCTTCATATTATTTAAGTAACGTACGACTAAGTTTTAAAACAAAATCAAAACAAAAGTCACATTACCTTCACTCGTGAAGATTTCCTGGATCCTTCTCGAAATGCCTGAAAGAAAATTAGACATTTATATTCTTTGAAGGAAATACAAAATCTCTCAAGGAATTTAAAATCTATTAATGAATTAACAGCTCTCCAATGTGGACCATTCTCAAAAAAACATGTGAGATGATGACAACAGAACAAACTATGTTGAAATCTCAAGAAGGCAACTGGTTACGTCTCACAAAATGTATTTTGAAACACAATTCAGCATTCCAAGCTAAGTGTATACTTAATGTCAGAGCTAGTAACCCAGGTACCCTTACCCTTCTCCCATATTACAACATGAATCACTAGATTTTCAGAATTCAAGGCAAAGTAACTGAAGAGTTACTTATGAACACCCCATACTTATCCAGTAGATCTGTAAATTGCCCACATCCTTCACTACACTATTTGTGGAAAGAAGGGAGGAGGAAGCAGGTGTCACAGATGTCCTACAATGTTAACTTCTGAAAGCAGTTTGCCATTCTGTAACAAAATCTCATTCTTTAAATTATCTCATACAAAACTGGGACATAACAGAATACGTGGTATTAGATTTATACTCAGAACCATTCATTCAAAGGAAACATGTTACTCAAAATTTCCAAAAAGTTATCAGCAACTAATTCTGACTTGTAGGACAAAGTTCTCATCTGAGCCAGTGACACCAAACTGCAGAATGGAACTTGTTAGATTAGAAAATCCCATGTACTTCTTCACATATACTTATCTTGACATGTATTTTGTTGTTTACACCTGTAGCTAAACAGTATCATATCAACATCCTGTTTAGCAAAGCAGTTCAGTAGCTAACTTTCTGACAGCACACTTCCACACAATTTCAACTCAAATAAACGGACGTGAAGTCCCATCAGGACAACTGAGTAAACATTTCTGAACTTAAAACCACCACAACTGAAGACTTTCAGACACAGAATTCTTCTGTGAGTATCCAAAGCCTGTTCTGCCCTACTTCTAACTATACTGAGTGGTCCAGTAAATGCAATTCCTCCTCACAAATTCTGTCTCAATATTAAAATTGAACTTTCACGACTAGTACGTATTAACTTGAATTAAAGGATGAGGGGAGGGGGAAGAGGCAGGGAAGACTATTATTTACTGCAGAGTATTACATTTCAATCTAAACCCAGTAGGAAAGTATTAGTAGTAACATAGCCTGATTTTTAAAACCAGTGTCTCTTGCTAAGAGACATCACCTAGTTATAACACAGAGTTAAAAAAAGAGAAATTACATTCACTTACTTTTTTACATTTTGCTATGTTCTGTTCTTTCTCTCCACTTTTTTTCCTTTTCTTATCATTGACTTTTGTAACTCTTGTAGCACTTATAGTAATTGTAGTTGGTGTATGTTGGAAAGCAGTATACAGTTCCACAGGAACCTCATCACCACTCTCTGTTGCACTGGTATCCCCATCTTTGAAACAAAGAACACTCTGTAAACAATCAAATACTGTAGAAAGAATATTCAGTAGTTACTCTATACCTGCTTTCAAAAACCAAAAATGTGTACTGACAGATGCTTCAAGCACTCATATGCAAATTTCACCAATGGTTAAATGAAATGACCCATGAAGAGCTGGTAATTAACAGACATTTGTATTGCCAGGTAAGAAAAAGATACCAGATTAATTCTATTCTTTGAATGGAATTATATTATCATATTCCATTATAAGCAAAATTAGCATCAGAACAAAACGTTAAAAAAAAATATTTGTTAACTCATTCACTTAGATACAGCTTTTACTTGTAATACAGCTTTAGGATTCTCTCAGAACACTGTACTGTAGAAAGGATTAAAAATGAATGACTGCCCAGCATTTCTTGTGAAGCCCTATTAATCATTCACCTGTTAAGTCGTAATCAACTATTTCAGTCGCAATTTGTCAAGTTCCTTTTTCAAGGTAAACACGTTGATTTAGCCAAAAGCCTTCTCTCCTCAAAATTCCCTAACAATAACATTCTGCTACGCAGAGAAAAACAAGATCACAAACTGACAAATATTTTTCCTTTGTGCTGTGCACCTGCAGATCTGAAAGCCAATGCCTGAAATTTAGCATACATCAGCATTTATGTCAGACAAATGCATTTCCTGACCTGAAACAGGATTACCCTAGTTCTGTCAAGATGAAAAGCTGTAAAGTATTGGGAGGACTGGAAAATAGATGGTGCACACAGAGAGGAGGTTGCTGTTTGCATGTGCTCAGTACAGACTTGCCAGATTTTAGAAGCTTTTCCAAACATTCTGCCTTCAGTAAACGTACTTCACACTAAACAAGACTTTTTCTGAAACTGCATAGAAGCAGGCTTGAAAATACTTAATCAGAGCAGAGAAAACATTCCTTCTGAGCTCAGAAAGATGTTGCCTTAATCAGTGCACTCAATGGTCCTAATTCTTGAAACCTTCTTTACTAAATAAAGCCCTCCAGCTACTGGTTAATCTGGCTTTTTCTTGTTCATAACATTCCTTAAAAGAATACTTCTGTGCATAGTCAGCAATCAAATTTTACCATCTTGGTTGCTCTTTTCAACAATTTATTAGGCACATAATTATACTTAATATAAGAGCTGATGATGATTTCTGAATTTGTTTTCTGCGTATAATATCTCTGCAGGGACTATTTTCTGAACTAGCATAAAATACACACATACAAAGAAGAAACATCTAATCAAAGCAGAATGAATAGCAGAATAACCAATGACTGAGAAATTAAAATTCAAGGCCCTCTTTAAATTGTCAGTGTTTGCAGTCCACAAACTACAGCCTACAGAATCATTATGTCACAGCCAAACACCTCAGCCTCCCCTAATCCCCCTCAAAACCCCACAAAACACTGTCTTCCTTAGGGAAGAAATATTTCAATATTGGCTACACTGTGCTCTAATTCACTGCAAAGAATAATTACCTCAACTGAACATATAATTACAGAACGCTGTTTTGAGACACTCCCTCCCAACCCACATAACCTGCTTTCACTTTGGAGAGCCTTAGTAAAGCACATCAAGACTAGATTTTGCATCTTGGAAAGCCAGATACAAACTCTCCAAATTTCACAAGAGGTTATAGGCTCAGACTCATTTACCTCTAAGTAACAAGTGATTTCATCAGCATCAATTTCAAGACCAGAGAGCTTGAAGTAACATCCTTGAACAGTTACACATCCAGACACTATATCTTAAAAAAAAATATCTCAAAAAAATGCCAAACAATCAACCAAAAAAAAAACACTATGAAAAGCCGAACCACCAACCAAAACAATCAACAACAAACCAAACCCAGAGGGTCTAGGATACAATTGACTAGGGGCTTACCAAAGGTGCTCACTCCACCCAACCACAGTAAGCAATCCAGTGCACACTAAGCTGCACCAGAACTACACTTTCATACTAGAACAACAAAACCAACACCACCACATACAACCACAGGCCTCCAAAATGGGCTACAAATGTTGCCAGAAAAAAAGGTGATGTGGGTAAGCAGAAAAGTTTAAGACTCTCACCAAGTGACGTATCATGTGTAACGTTCACTAAAAAGCTCTTTTCTGGATGCAAAACCAACTGATTTACTGCTTGCTCCCCACGGTTTAGCTTTGGATGCAACATAGCTAAAGCAGCAACTCTTCAGAAATCTTTACAATAAAAGTCATTATACTGTATTCTCACATCTAAATGAAACACCTTATTATACATAAGCCTAAAAAAAAAAAAAAGCCCTAAGTATGTACTTACTTTTCAAAGAACATTCAAGTAATACAATCTTACCTTTAATCAAAACATCTGTAACTTACTACTAAATACGTTACAAGTAACATTCAGCTGCTGTTGAATACTTAACAGATTTAAGAGATACATTCAAACTGATGCCACTTTTGCTTTTCCTACTTGGAATCCTCTATGAAAACTGGCCATTTTTAATAGTGTCTCATGGTAGACAGTTCATTCATACCTAGAATTACTTTAAGTCTGATTGAACCATGTAGTATTAGTCAACATACAAAAAGTACATTTAGCCAAGCAGAAGTATTTGCTAAATGAAAACTAACTAGAGATACAAACATACATTCAAGTTATGTATTATAAATCATAGCAATTAATACTAAACTTCAACTAAGTCTTAGACTAAACGGGATTAGAATTTATCCTTGTTTTTACACTGTTTTGATACTTAATATTTATCTTTTAGTATTTATTTTCCTATTGAATTAACAGAACAGATTTAAAAGACTCATCATCAGGATTAAGTAGGGCTGAACACTAACTTCAAAGGTAAAATTCTCCAGCTTCTGCTAAGATTCAGACTCTCTCTCTTAAGTTTACAGTAAATGATCAGACAGTGTGGCTATAAATCCTAAGAGATTACTTATATAGCTCAGACAAATTTCCCCTATCCTGTATGTAAACTCAAGTTCATTCTCACAATGAGTTAATTAACTGGTATCATATTAACCCTCAATGAATTATATATGTACTTATTTTATTATTTTAATAGAATCCACAAAAATCAGTTTAAAGCTCTAAAAAAAAAATTGTACTACCTAGCAAGTCAACCAAAACTTCACTCATTTTGGTTTTGTCAAAATGAAAACAGATAAAATAAAAAATGATTGTGGTGTCTACATAAGTCATTAATGCCTTTAAGCGACTTACGGCAGCTTAGCACTGGACAGCAGGAAGTGTCAACCACACCAAGAAGCACTATTAAGCCACACAAGCTTCTAGGCCACATCATACACTTCGTAATTCTCTGAAGGAATATGATGTACGCAGCAGGACCTTATCTACGTGGTAGAAACCCTAACACACACGCACGCACACCCTCCCCCTCCCTAGTGCTACAGACATGATTTGTTAGTAAAATGTGAAGTTTAGGAGGATGACTTCCTCCCAAATGATGACTTTTGTAATAGAGCATGAAAGTATCACCTGTCTATCAAGAAACCCAGGACATATTTGGGAATGGCTAAACAGAACTCCTTAAAAGTTAGCCTGGCTCAGTTCTGAAATTCTTAAACAGTAAGAGAGCTCATTTCATAAAATATAGAGACTTAAAATAGATATTTGCACTACAAGCCTCATCTAATTATCGAAAGCCAAAAAAAACCTCAAAACATAATATAACTACATTAAGTTTAGCCATTTTTCTTGTTGTGAAAAGAGACCCCAAAACAAACTAATACATACACCTAAATCTACAGACAACAAATCAGAATTAGGATTCCCTCTCAAAACTATGCTTGATTGAGATATAAAACAATTATGTAATTCTTAGAGACAGGAATATCACCTGCAATCGAAAGGTTTTAAGAGATCAGTATGAGGACATGAGTAGTCTATACTATGAAGGAAAAAATGACAGAGCTGTGACATTTTTTTCCAAAAAGGAAGTAGACTTAGTCACCTTCTCTTACTGCAGAAGAAACCCCAACTTCTTCCATCTTATCTTCAGTAGCTTACTCAAAGTAGTATAGTTTTTTATAATAACTACATTCATTATTAAGAAACTTTAACAATGTTCCAACAGATTGACTTATTTTACAATTATAAGAAAAAAGGCAGTGGTGACAACCTTTAACAAAACAGGATGAACAGCAACAATTCTGATATAATGTTATCTTAGTAACCATAAAGCCACGTACAGTGTGACAGTGGGATTGAGTGCACCCTCAGCAAGTTTGCTGATGAGACCAAGCTTTGTGGTGTGGTCAACGCACTGGAAGGAAGGGATGCCATCCAAAGGGACCCTGGCAGGCTTGAGAGGTGAGCCCATGTAAACTTAATGAAGTTCAACAAGGGCAAGCACAAGGTCCTGCACATGGGTCGGGGCGATCCCAAGCATTAGTACAGTCTGGGTGGAGAATGGATTGAGAGCAACCCTAAGGAGAAGGACTTGGGGGTGATGCTGGATGAGAAGCTCAACATGAGCTGGCATGTGCGCCTGCAGCCCAGAAAGCCAACCATATCCTGGCCTGCATGAAAAGAAGTGTGGCCAGCAGGTCCAGGTAGGTGATTCTTCCCCTCTACTCTGCCCTGGTTAAGACCCCACCTGGAGTACTGCGCTCAGCTCCGGGGCCCCCAACACAAGAAGGACATAGAGCTGCTGAAGCGAGTCCAGAGGAGGGCCACGAAGATGATCCAAGGGCTGGAGCACCTCTCCTATGAAGAAAGGCTGAGAGAATTGGGGTTGTTCAGCCTGGAGAAGAGAAGGATCCAGGCAGATCTTATAGCAGCCTTCTAGTACCTAAGGGGTCCTACAAGAAAGCTGGAGAGGGACTTTTTACAAGGGCATGTAGTGATAGAACAACGGGCAACAGATTTAAACTGAAAGAAGGTAGATTTCAACCAGATACAAGGAAGAAATTTTTTACAATGAGGGTGGTGAAACACTGGAACAGGTTTCCCAAACAAGTTGTGGACGCTCGATCCCTGGAGGTGCTCAAGGCCAGGCTGGACGAGGCTTTGAGCAATCTGATCTAGTGGAAGGTGTCCCTGCCCATGGCAGGGGGTTTGGAACTAGATGATCTTTAAGGTGCCTTCCAACCCAAACCATTCTATGATTCTAAGAAAAAGGCAATGATGTACTGAACCTTATATGCTGAAGGCTACCAAAATTGCAGGAACCATGTATAGACTCTAAAGTCTATACAGTTGTTACATACTTATTTTGTAACCTTTATAAGGAAAAATCTTTTAAGTGTTACTCACCTGACATATTTTCCCTCTTCCTTCGTTGCAACAGGACTGCCCTTTCTTTATCTAAACTCCTGAAATTAAAAAATATTTTATTCTATTAGTCACACTCATGCATCAATACACATAAGTAGTGAAAGAGACCTTTTCATAGCTACCATTTTCCATTGACTATTACAGAATAAAGAGTAGCTGAATGTTTAGATACTTAGAGAAACCTAAGTTGTGCATTCTTCCATTCCATATTAATGCAAAGCAAACAGAAGTACCCACATAACTTGAAAACATAATGAAACTTGATAGCTCAGAAGGAAGACTGACAGTTGGTCCATGGGTTACAGATAATCAGGCATTAAACCCTTTTCCTGCAGATTCTTCCAAACAATCGTCTCAATACAATACAAAACAAATACTCTATGACAACAAGGTCCAAACTATTTCTCAGAAATAGAAGAATCTTATATTGGTTACTAAAATATTCTAAGCACACATGTATTTTATTTGTTGTTTAATTAACAATCTGCAATGTAAGTAACACGCAGCATTTCATGCTCTACATCACAAGACAACTATGATGACATCCAAGTATAATCTACCTACCACACAGTCAGAACAAAACGCCCTCCTTGTCATGTCATATGACCTCAAGTTTGAGGGATGGGCATACAAACACTCATCCCAGAGCAAGGAATCCTCCAAGTGAGCACTGCAATATATTGGAATGGGGCCATAAAACCAGAAGATACTGAGAAATACTCATGGGACAGCTGACCTGGAAACACTGCTGTTGAGGGTTCTCAACATATGACAGCTACTAAATGAAATAAGGAATGGATTATCTATGTATCAGTCAGCCTGAGAAAGGAACCAGGAATCACTGCTAGTTCCAAAAGCATTTCAAGGGTTTATCCCTGCTGCCTGGAGAGGTGAAACAATGACTACCATGAACAAAGGAATGGAGACTATTAAGATCATCTGCATCAGAAAGGTAGCTCCTATAACCGGAATTGTGAGGATTAAACTAAGTGGTTTGTGTTTTATCTGCTGGTTGTTCCAGTACCTCTTCTTTTTATATTCTCCACTCAATTTACAGTTCAAAACCAACCAAACTACTCACCTTGGTTGACAACGTTCACACAGATATATATCAGGAATATGCTGTCTGTCAATCCCCATGCAGTCAATGTGCTGCCAGACACTTTAAAAAACAAAAACAAAACACACACCTTTTAAGTAAAATTTTTTAAATTGTGTACACAATATAATACACAAACACACAGAGCAAGTCGTTCTTTTTTTCATCATGATCTTTACTCAGATTGAATATTGCCTAAAACTACATCTCATTCACTGTCTTCGCCACCACTCAGCTAGCTGATTTTCTATTCCATTGATCTCTGCAATTCCCATCTTGTGGCTGTCTCTCGGTGTCTCTCTGCTTCTTTAGACTCATTTTCCCTCTTGGAAATTGTTCTCTAACACTGGAAATAAAAAATGGTAAATTATCACAATAGAGAACAAGATAGAGTCAAATACCCTCAGTAACAAGACTTTACATAGTAAAAGAACTTCTAGTTTTTAAACAAAAGGATTCAATTTTCTTTTCTAAATATACACATAAAATATTAATTTTATTTTTCTATATAAATATATACACAAATACATGGGTTTATTTACTTACATATTTTAATAGAACATATAAATATGTTTTTATACACACATCTCACATGACTGGTAGCACTGTTGTGCAGCATAGGAAGAGCTTCAACTGCTTCCCACAGTCAGGGAAGAGAGGCTGCTTGCTAGACTGAAGGCTAACCCAGGACAGTAGCTTATGCTCATCCCCACATTGCTAGAAGTAATGGGGACACAGAAGTCGTTGTCACCTTCCCACTTGTGAATTTATCATAACTCTCTCCAACTCCTCCCAGAGAACCTCTTCTTCAAAAGAAGCAGACTCTACCTAACCAGTGACTGCCTACAGCTCCACTGCTAAAAGAACATCTAAATACATGTCAAAATAAAGGAAAAGATTATGAGAATCAAGGATCATAAAAAAAATAACAAGCTTGTTACATAAGCAGACAGAAGAATGGAGCTCAAATTCATGTTTTAATTAGCCATTAACAATCATTTTAGAAATACACAACGACCTAATAAATTCAGCAGCATTCGTTAAGCGTACTGAAGGTAAAAATACAGGCTAATACTGAGTAAGTGCAGAAACGTGAGATCTGTCTTCTCCTGTTATCAGCTGCAAAAATTTTTAAACTGGTTTTTACAAGTTCAAGTATTTAATAGCACCTGCTTATTTTACTGTGATCAAGTAGGTACTTAAGCATGAACGCAGAAGTTTAAACGTTTAACGTCAGCTTCTCCAGTAAGAATCTAAGTTAGCCTTTTCATAGTTATTAAAATTTTTAAAACTATGTCGTTTGAAAATTAAGAGTTCTTATCAGAAAAATCATGGACAGAGAAACCTATATTTGAGAAGTTTTTTTCAGGTTATTTTGCATCCTGCAAGTTACTTTATTCACATATACATAATTTATCAAGATGCTTTATTACTCAGTACATGACAGATGAAGAACCAATCCCTAGGTCTTTTATTTCACCATATTAATAACTTGGACAATATACCAAAGAGATATCGTTCTTAGAGAGGAAAAAGATATACCCTTATTAAGTAACAATGCACAAGTAAAAGCATGAACAAACTAATATAAGTAGTCAAGACAGACTGGAATAAAGTACAAAATACTCACTGGCCTTAAGCAACTACTTTGCCTACAGAAAGCCACACAACCTTCAAACACTGTTTTGATGGCAGGACATTTCCTATGACTTAACATAATTACAGCACCATTTAGTTATATTTACTTCCAGTGCAACTTAAAGATTTAAGTAATTTTTACCTTTTAAATTAATTTAATATTCATTACCTGCATTTGTCACAACAGATCATATATCCATCATCATGTGTAAAGCCACAAATGCATCTGGTAATATCAGTTCCATAGCTTCCATCCTCTGACGTACTGATGGTAGTAGCACTGGAGGTTTCATCAAAGTTGGGAGTGGTAAATATGCCTACTTCATTCTTGCTTATAAGCACTGATGGAGGAGGAGAAGCTGGAGGCGTTGGAGGAGGCCGAGCACCATAGTTATGGTCCTAGATTTTCATTGAAAAATAAGTTACAGCTCTTAAATAACCATCAGTGTATGAACATTTAAGTCAAAGTGTAAGAATTTACTTTGTAAAGAATTTTAGAAGCTTATGACTTCTTAGCGAGAGTTTAAAATTTTGTCATTGCTCATTCTTTTTACTTTCCTGACTATGTTTTATATATAAGCGCACCATATTCTGCTTCTAATCAACCATCTTTAGTCAACTTAAACAGCTCCCAATAAGATATAAAAATATAAGCACGAACCAGAGTTTTTCCAGTTAAGAACAGCAGATTTTACATAATGTCTTTTATATAGAGTACTTAGCATGAAACTTACTGCATAGGGCAAACCAATGTAGCTGTGTGAATGCGAGCTGCTGGTATACAACTGGTGCGGATAACTGTTCGATTTTTCAACTACCACAGGGCTAGCTTCTACAGATTCTGGTCTGCAAGGCAAAAGAGAGAAGAAGAAGAAATACAATAAATACGCAATTTATAATAATAAATTACAGTTACTTGTTGCTCAACTTCTGACTAATTGCCTTCTGTTCCTGTTTAATGAAGTACACAAAAAGGCGGGGGGGAGAGGTGAGAACAAACTCGCATAGCCCCAACTGCCCCCTCGCCTCAAGAGAAAAAAAAGGAAACCCAACCCTCTTCTTTCATTTAAAACGGAACTTCTCGAGTGGCAGAGAACTTATCTCTGTGGAGTTACAAAACTTTCCTCAAAAACGTGCCTTAAGCCGCAAATCTGGGACAGAAATGCGTGCTACACACTTTGTCATGCCCGGGAGTCACCAGCGCGTGTGCCCACGCCTACACAGCTGTAAGAGAAGGTGCAGAAGGGACTCAGCCGGGCTCCGGCCGAGGGCGGCCCCCGCCCAGCCCCCCGTGCGCTCGGCAGCGA